TTTGTTTGTGTCTCAAGAGGAAGACACAGACAGAGCAGTGTTTATGGACAGTCACTTTATATGAGGTACAAGGGATTATAGAGAAAATATGAAGATTACAGTGTACAAACAGAATATTGTTTTTATAAAGGCACACTATATAACTTTTCTAATAGGTGTCATTGCCTTGCCTAGAATGTTCTACAATATGGCATTAGACATCTATCTTGCATTTATTTTGTTATGTGTGCTTTTGTTGCTCAAAAATACTTTGAAAAACAGGAATTCTTACTGAGCTGGGATGCCTCTCCACAGATCTGTCCTGCTACTTGGCCTGGTGGTGCCATCTCATTGTCTCCATGGAGAGAGATAAGTTAATGGCATACTTTATTTTACTTCCAGGCAAAGCGATAATATCCTAAAAATTATAGTGCACCTTTAACTTGCACAGAATACTCACTAGGCTAGAAGCTTGTATTAATAATAGTTTATTATTATTATTATTATTATTATTATTATTATTATTATTTTATTTTTTAATCTGCATTCTCCCACTGAAAATAACACACCTACAAAAATACTAACAAGTGTACAAAAGTACAAAAGTACAAAAGTGAGCATTGGGCATCAAAGCCATTGAAGGGTTTTCTGCAAAATACAATTCTAACAGTATTCAGTCTATTTGTGCTGAGTAAAAGCACAGATGAAACTCCCCCCTTGAATACTTCACTATTTATAAAAACATGGCCTGTGTTTGACCTCGTACTCTGAAGAAGGAAGTACTTGTGGAGTCTTGTCTTTGTGCTCAGATCAATCTTTCAGTGGATTCATTTTACACAGTTGAATAAAGATTTCTCAGAAAATCTTGTGTCTTCTATTGGCCTGAGCTATGACGAGAGGCCAGACAACTAACAAACGTTTACTAAACACAATATTAATAATAATAGCTGTAGCATGACTATAAACATCTTTGCTATTGCTATTGTCATATTTTATTTGTATTTAGTCACCATACAACAAATCAAAATGCAACAGTGTGTACTAGGCTTTATAATAGTATAACAAGTATATAACTATACTAACAGTATAAAAACTACATTAAATTAAACCACTTCCTGCATAAACTGAAGCTTCCTGTATAAACTGAAATCAATATCAAAATTGTGTCTTGATTAATCATTATAATCAGTTAATCTTGACATATGTGGTTGAAGTAAAATCTTTAAACATTTGTTGTGATGTAAAGTGCTGAATAGTGCAGGATAGTGCAGAATAAGCTTTCCTCAAATGTTTACTGTAAGTTTACTGTATGTCGCAAACAACAATCTGAGGTAATCAGCTCCTCTTTGCAGCGGCCGTGTAGTTATTATTAAGTGGATTAACCTCTTTAGATTAGTCTCAGCTATTTCTCCATCTGTCTGCGTGCCACTGTACTCTGCACACGGTGCAAGGAAACACAAGGGACCTTAAACATGTTTACAGGAGTCTGACCCAGTGACCCAGTGAGGAGCGTGAGCCAAACCGCCGCTCACATGAGGCAGTACAGTAAACCCTGATTAGAGCTGATTTGTCTCAGCTGAACGGACAGCAGATGCTATTGTACATAGGACGCAACGGCACGTGACCTCTTTACCCGCTTTGTGCAATTTCAGGAGTGGAGTAATGCACATTCAAAATCTTAGTTTAGGTGCAAATATTGTTAAGAAGGGCTTAAAAGTGCACTATGTATCTTTTCTAGTAGAGGGACTGCCACCTGCTTATGTTAAGATGCTATTGCTTTGGTTTGTGATATTCCACAGTATATACCCATATATATATCCCTAAATACCTATCTCCATAAAGGCAAGCAGGAGATCTGTGGATCCAGATCTGTGGAGAGGTGACGTTTTTCAAGGGATTTACTTCACAATAAAAACACCTTCTTGAATATATTCTGGTAATTCATTCAATATCATACTGTGGGACATTTCCAAGAAAAAACTCAATATGGTTTGAGTCTCAAATAAACACATAGACCAGGGAACAAAATAATTAAAATAAGAGGAAACTGTTTCTCATTGACAGTACATTCATAATCATCTTTAGTTTTATGTAATATGTTTTTCTTATTAGACATTAAAATTAAGTAAATCCACAAATCTCATGTCTATATTAGAACAAGTTAGTGTCTGAAAAAATTGCAGCAGATTACTACACTCTTCTCCTTGGAGTAATTCTAATTAAATCATATCATCCTGTAACAGTCACAGGAGCAGGCTCATTTGTAACAGATCCTAACAGTGCCCCCGTGTGGCTATTAATAAAAGTCATAAATCACGAACAGTTAGTGCGGGAGTTTTTAGGTCAGGCCTGTAAGAGCCACACCCAGAGGAAAAGTCTGCAAAAAAATTCATACCACACATTTAGGTTGAACACAATTTACACAACACACAAGGTAGACACAAGGTTAAGTGATAAAAATGAGAGTTATTGATCATTGAGATAGTTATAAGTAATTGAATAATAATCTCTATACACCTGTCTCTTCTCAGCGAAGCTTTATGACTCTGACAAGGCAAAAATTTGATTAAAATGACAAAGAATCCACTACATTTTGAGAACTTTTGTAATGTACGCAATCTATCAAGGAATCAAAAGAATAATGGTTAGATTAATCAACTGAATTTGTTATTCACAGCCCTATATACCACCCACAGCCTGCTTTAAGTTTGGTTCATGTGAGGGGAGTGTCCTGATGTGTCCTGATGAGTCCCTCTGCAGAGAGACAACTGCACTGATGTCATTACAGCAGAGTGAGCAGAAACAGAGGAGCTCAGGGCAAAGCAGGACACAAACCACAACAGAAAATATGACTGGGCTTAAATAAAACATTGGCCCGTTTTTAAGCTCCTCTCCTCTCTCCACGTCACCTCCATCCGTTTCTCTCTCCTATTTTTAAATCTTTACTACTTCATATTATTGCCAGTAAATGCTGTGTTAAAGTCTAAAGTTGGTTCAGCTCCGCCTTCAGATTTCTCTGTCTCTCTCTATTCTTCCATTTATAACCAGTCTAGACCTCCTCTCTCCATCTCTGTCTTTTTCTTTTTCCTTTTCCCTCTCTCGTGCATGTTGCTATGGTAGGTGTCACACCAAACTGCAGGTGCCAGGCTCATGGCTCAACAATAAAAATTACTTCAGGTATAACAGGAAAATGAATGTAATATCAGCACTAATGAACAAAATTGTTTGATTGATTAATTTATTTGTGGTCACAGGTATATTCTGACATTATTCCTCAGTCATAATTAACATACACAGACCGAAAAGGTGCAGGCTAAAGCTTGAGGTTATTATGCCTTTACCTTTTACTCCCTTGTCATAGCGTCATCTTGAAACCAGTTCATATTCATAAACAGAGCAAAAGGAAACAAACAAATCAGTAGCAGTATAGCAAAGTACTACAGAAAAAACTAAGTACCATAAATCATGTAAACGTCTTTTTAAAATGGAAGCAAGTGGTGCACAATTTTAGTTTTTTTGTACAGTTGTTCCAGACGTCCACCCTTTAAACAGATACACAAAATTTAATGATGTTTGTTCTGATTTTCTTTTTGATAAACATGGCTGTACCTCGGAGATCATATTGACTATTTCAGATTTTGAACATATTCTCTAATGATTTTGGCACGAGATTATTGTTTACATTGAGTATGATTTTCAAAGTGTAAAGGTCGACTAAATAGTAGAATCTCAGAGTTTGTAAGTTTAAAAATAACGCATTGGTTGGTTCATAAGTTGATAATGTGATTGCTCTTATTGCCTTTTTTACAAGGTAAAGATGGGATTTGTAATAGACTTATATGTATTGTCCCAAATCTAAATACAGTAGGTTATGTAGGGCATTACAGCGAGTTGTATATAATAAAAACACAGTTTTATTTAGGATATATATCTAAATTTATATATAACTGCGATGACACTGGATAATTTATTTCTAATTTTATTTATGTGCGATTTCCAGTTTAAAGTATTGTCTATACTTACTCCTAAAAAGTTATTTTCAAAGAGTCTTTCTAGTGGTGTATTGTTGAGTATAATTTGTACATGATTTTGTACTTTTTGTTTTTCCAAATATAAATTTAGTTTTTTTCTCTGTTTAGTGACAATTTATTAATATCAAACCAGACTTTAATTTAATCCACCACTTGAACAAGCTGCCTTTGGTAAAATAAGTTGTGTTGGTTACTCAAAATTAGGGATTTTGCTAGTCTGATAACATTATTATACACAGGATATGTTCAAATTTGATCTATAAATTGAAACTATATTCTGAAGATAAAGACCTAATATACAGTAATCCTGTTCTTTAAGGATACAATGAAAGAAATGCATTAATACACTGAAGTTTTTAACCTATAAAAGGTCAAATTCACCAAATTTAGTCAAAATAATGTAAAAGGATACTAGTCCCAAGTTCAAATCAAACCCAAAATCCCAGATCCAAGAATCAAACTACTGAACGAAATGTTATAAAAAGGCCTATGGACTATACACTGTTTAGTACAACTTAACAGGATAAAATAAATATGAGTAATCTTACCTCAAGGCTGTTAGATACATGGGGTCAGTCAGGTGGTTTCATCGAGTCGAGTCAAAAAACACCTGTAATGTGTTGTACAATTACCTGCATGTTTAAACAATCATCCGCATTTAGTGATTTATTATTTACGTTATACTTAGCCAGACCCAGCTCACTTTTTAAGTCGGCTGAAAAAAAAAGAAAAAGAAAAAACTTGCGTCTGGTAATGACACATGCAGGAACAACACGTGGTTTCACGCGCCACCTAGTGTTCATAATACAAATAGGAGATACAATGATAGCCACTAGATGGAGCTAGTAGCTAGTTCAGGTTGGGTAAACTGTGCAACTAACTATAAAATAACAAAGATGCCAAGGACACAGACTTGTTAATTTATTCGGGGCTTACTTTAAGGCCAATTTAATCAAAACCAGAGATGGAAAAAATGCACACACAAAACGCTTTGGTGAATAATTACTATTTAATATTATTATGAATTAATTATTATTATTTATATTTAAGTGCTTATGTGTAGGAGTGAAGAATAATTTATGCCTTTAAACAAAAATGAGAAAATACATAAAGTAGCCAAAAATACTTAAAAACAAATATTGTTTGGATACAAAAGAGCATTTGAGCAAGACAGTCACCAAAGATCCTTCATTTACTTCAGCTGCCGGTAAGTCACCAACTGTTCACGTTTAAACCAAAAGACATTGAAATATTGTGATGCAATCTCCTCCGAACACAACTTAAGCTTATTTTACCCTTGTACATACATTTTCGTTCAATATCAGACTGGTATACCTCTATGGGTTTGAAAACAGCTTTGCATCACTGGATTCAATGCTTCACACAATTATTCAACATCCATAACATTTAGTTTTCACATTCAGAGACTCTCTTCATACTTTCACAACAATCAATATGTTTGCTGTTAGAAGCAAATACACTGGTCAATAAAGTGGTAATGTGATAAAGTGAATACTAGTAGCATATCCTTCCTTTCCAAAAAATACTAATTAAAGTTGTGCCTTTCGAAATAGATTTACAGCTTATTTACAAAACTACTGACAGACTGTGATTGAAAATAGTAACCACTTGTGTCTATTCCTTTTAATATTTTTCTATAAAAGCTGAATACTGATGTGCAATAAATAATATTAATATATATTATTTACATAAAATACAATGAGTGAAATAATTAAAATGCATCAAAACACAATGGCAAGACAAGGACTGTGCTAACAAACAATAAATACAGTTTTGACCCCATTTAAATATATTAGTCTGTTATTAGTCTATCTCAGTATTTTATGTTAAATTAAGTTTATATTTTAAATATTCACTTTGAAGTAAATAACAGAACACAACATAAAATAATTCAATGGAAAAAGATGACAAGATATATTTAAATGGAGTCAACATTTCATTTTTTTTTTTTTTTTTTGTATTTTTCCTCGCAAAACTGGCAAGACATTTCCAAAATGTGGAAAGGAAAAGTCCTGTATCTAGATAACTGGAAGGAAATATTATGCTTATGCAAAACACTGTAGGCTCCAGTGGCAACTTCAAATGGTCATTGTAACTTCATATTATAATTTCCAGGCCTGATCCAAAAAGCTGTATGATGTTGAGCTTATTAATAAGAGGAGCTGTGCAGTGGCAGGTTTCTTCTTTCTGCTGGAAAGCTGCAGTCTTGAAAATGTTCCACAGTATTGCTTTTCACCTGCTAATGCGAGTTTTGTGATTTGACCTCGGACTTGATGATGGGCCAAAGAGTTTCTGGTGGCTCCTCCATCGTTGTCGTAAAACAAAGTTGTAATTGTCCGTGGTGCTCATGGCATAAAATACGTTGGCCTTGTCGGGAATGTGGAGCTCTGTGGAAGTCAGGGAAAGTATGCAGTCAGATAATATATATTTTAAAACAGCAAAAGTCTGAATTTGCAAAGAAGTAAATGCGGAGGTGCAGTGAATGAAGCCTTCCCCATATAGCCAGAGAGTCAGAGAGTCAAACCTCGCCTAATGATCAAATAATGATTAAATAATGATTTTTAACCAAATAAAATTTACCAGACTGAGGAGGATATAGGAGATAGGCCTAAATAAATGATAGGAGATGTACTTAACATTCAAAAATCAAAGGGGGGATGACTTTACCTTTTCCTTGGCTAAGCATCTGATAGAGACCAAAGTTTGTGGAGCTGACTTCCTCCATGTTGTGCTTCTCCAGAGCTCTCTGTATGACTTGAGGGGTGTGGTCCTGGCTTGTCAGCTAATCAACAAAATAGACGTTAGCCTCTTCTATGTCTAATATATTTGTAGATGCAAGTCTATTTTAGGCTTGTAGTAGCAGTAATAGTAATAGTTTGGTTACTACAACAAATAATAATCAAAGTACAAACAGTAGTAGCAGCAGTACTAGAAGTTATAATAGTGATAGTAATAATAATTCATATATGTTCACTAGTTCCTGTCCTCACCAGAATACTCTTGTAGACGCTCCCATTGCTGACACTCTCCACACTGACCCTGATGATGCATGAGTCATCCACCTGTTTGTTGTAGAGCGGCTGTGGGGAGTGGGACGGGCGGGGGGAGTGGGACGGGTCAGGACCCAGAGAGGCGAGGCTCAGGTCTGGGTGAGACGAACTGCCAGACGAACTGGACAAACTGGGAGACAGTGAAGACAAGTCCTCTGCGACGTTGTGAAGGGAGCCAGAGAAAGACTGTAGAGGAAAGGTATACAGTGACTAAGCAGTGCATTTTAAGATTAGGGATGTCAAGACTAAAAACAATAAATCAATGACTGTGATTGTGAGATTTTTGGAAGAATTTGAAATAAATTTATTTTCCAAACGACATTTATCCCCTTACTAAATAAACATAAATACAATATGATACAGTTACCTTGAGTTTGAGCCTGAGTGGATAGGGGTTGGGCACATTGAGCTCCTCCATGTCTGAGCTGCTTGAACCGGAGGAGCAAACACTGATCTGATCTGAGTGAGTCCTTCGAGACGAGCTGTCACTGCCTGATCGCAACCTGCAAAAACAAATCAATGTATATAAAAATGTGTAATTCATTACTTTCTATGTAGGTTTTTATTATTGATGATAACTAAAATCTTGTACAATTAGTTCTACAACTACAAATCTTAATTGTAGAGTTAAATACAGACTTACAGGGGTATTTTCTTTGGTCGAAGGCAGTGGGCCCACAAATTTGGAGAATGTGGGCATGGGTCAACAGGGGGCTCCAGTTCACGAGACAGATCATAGCTTTAAAAAAATTTAAAATTTTTTATTTCAGATAATCAAAGTTTATGTTTTGTTGCTGTAAATTATATGAAATATAGAAATATACAAACACACATTCACATATACATTATTCTGTTAAATCTATACTATAGTTTTATTTACCTCTCTTGATCAGTGAGCACTGAGTGACCTTGAACCCAGTCGGTGATTTCTGTGTCAACTGAGAAACTGTAGTGAGAACAAGAAGCCTGGAGCTGTTGAATCTGAGTAAGAATCTCACATTCCTGAAAAACAAATAAAACAAAATAATTAGCAAAAAAAAAAAAAAAAAAATTATGTAATTGTTTTGAATTGTTTTCAAGTTAGTCTTATAATCAGTAGGTGGTGGCACTTACTCGTCTACGTTTCTCAAAGTTGATGAGTCCACCCTTTAAAAGAAAGAAAAGACATACAATGTTAGAGACAATGATTTGCCCTCGCCCAACCATAGACTTAATAATACTGACTCATTCTCAGTAATTAAAGATTTAAAAGATTTGAAGGCTCTTACCTCCACTGTGTCATTGAGGGCAGTGTCCAGCATGGTCAGGATGGTCAGGTAAGTGCCCAAATATGGGATGACACCAGTGCTACATGTCTGAAAACATAAAATAAAACATGGCCTTAATAACTATGAAAAGGTTTTGGTCATAAAATCTGTTAGAATAATTGTTTAATTTAACAGTAGCTCATGTCTCAGTATGATAACTCAGTAGGCATCTGTTCAGTTCAGTTTCTCAAAGTGAGTAAAATGGTAATAAAAGTAGCAATCCTCAAACCATCTCGCTCTGTGTAAACTGCTAAATCATTTTTGCAAACGTCATACTTTTTATCTTTTAAGGTCAATGGGAACAACCAACAACCATATAGATAAAAGGAAAAGTAACCTTAACTTTGTATAGGAAAACTGGTCTTGATTATTGTGTCTTACCATCTTTCTCTGGGAAAGCTGTGGAGATTTTGAACCAGGAGAAGCACTGTCATCCTGTGAAAATAAAAAAAGGAAGTTTAGTTGCTTATCCAAATATCCTGGATAAATCAACAACCTGTCACCAAATTTATTGGTTTATATTTGGTTGGTGTGCTTTGGGCAGCAGGAGATTGCATAGAAACTTCAACTTTAGCAGCTAGTTCTAGGGCCAATTTTTATTTATATCATGGCAACACTGTAGGGACCACATAACACCACTTTGTATGTTAGTCAGTGGGTTACTGAGCTATTAGTAATAGTATAGTTCAATACAGAACAAATATATTTTATATAAACAGTAACAAAGATCAAATCAAATGTAACCCCTATTATGTATTTTCCATAAACAACAATGGATTGGCAGCAGAAAGCTTAAATATTATTTCCTCGTTATCTTGTGTTGTGTTTAAATGCAGTAGGTGCACGTGCACAACGTGTCACACATGACAAAAGAAGGTGAGCGATGCTGCTGTTCTTCATACCAGACAAAACTAAGTTCTAAGGAGTGGCCAACACAATGCAGATGTAAATATATGCTGTGTACCTACTCATTAATAAAGTATTTAATTAAATAAAAGTTGTAATTACCTCAACAAGGATCTCTCGATTCGTGAGCACACAGTTTTCATCTGGAAAGTTCTCGCAGAGATTTTCAAATAAAACCACGCTCTCCCTAAAACACAAAAGATCTTTCAAATTATTTAGGAGTTGAAAGCTGTATAAAACAGTTGTACGTTTATTATTCATTCACCAACCTCTTCTAGTAGCTTAGACATATATGATTTGTGCTTTGATGTGCTTAGGTTGGACAATGATCATGTATATATTCAACTGAGTAATATCCAGTAACTGCTTAGCTCTTTTACACTGGGATATTGAGACAGATTGTATTGTTGTCTTTCTGACCTGCTGACGGCTGCCCAGGTCTTCTTGAGGCGGTACACAGCATTGGACTGAAGTGCCGAGAGGATCGCCCTGAGAGAGGAGAAGTTCTTCAGTTCTCTGCATTCCTGTGAGGACAAAGAAATGTTTTTTCTTATATATCTACATCAAAATATTGAGACAACATAAAAAGGTGTTTATGCATTTTCTAATAATATGAATATTATTTATTATCCTTTGGTCAGATTGTGGTTTCAAATTGTTAAGTTTGGCCATTCCTTAATTTTAGACATACATTTTTAAAAGAAAAGCACAAAAAAATATAGTCAGTTTTGATTTAATAATGTCATAATCATATATATATTTAATAATTAGGGATTGAAAACTATGAAAAATGCTTACCTGTGCTACAGCGATCCACCTCTCTATGACTTGTGCTCGGTGGGTGGAGTTAGTGTGCGAGCTCCGAGGGGACATGGGGCTGGACAAGGGGGAGGAGAGGGAGATCATGGAGGAGTGAGGAGATGCATTTGGAGAGGAAGAGGAGGGTGGGGTTGTGGGACACAGCAGAGAGGTAATGACACAGTTAGTCACGGTATTGAACTGTGAGATGGTGGCACGGACAGTTGGAGCCATGTTACGATTTTCCTTTTTGTCTCGCTGGGACCAGACACAGCCGAGGCAGTGAAAAGGCTTCACTCTGACAAATAGCTCCTGCGAAATGATCAAATGAAAATTAGATATTAGATTACAGTCAAAAGTCTCTGTACACCAACACTCAGTCCATAGAGGTACATATAAAAAAGAAAATAAAAGAGCTGTGGAACAACCTGATGAGCTGCTGAGTCACTACTGGTAAATACACATATATTGATACTTTGCAGCTGATGCATCAACATTCCCTTGGGGTGTGAAGCAAACAGAAAGCACTACTCTGTTAGAAGCTTTGTTAGTCAAATTAGAGGTTTATTTTAACACAATCTGACCAGAAAGAGCTGACTTAGTTGAAACTGCAACAGGTGAGATGATTTGTGTTGTTAAACAAGCCTGTTTATCTTTCTTCTACTACCTTAAAACTATTTTTTCTATGTTTGCTAATGTGTGCATTGTGTCACCATGGTAACTGCTGAGTATTCTGCCAATAGAGATCCGTATAGAATACCCCCAGCATGATGTTACTGTGGGACATCAGTAATGTCATAATAATGCTGTGTTGACCATCTGTTGTTCAACATGATGCCCAAATATAATATTATTCAAAAAGTATGTACCGCATCCAGTCTGGTCAGCTGCTCTGCCACTTTCCCCACAGGAAAGTCCAAGAGGGTTTTGTTTTTCCCTGAACAATCCGTCACATCCTCTTGGTATGGATCATTCAGCTGCAGTGTTGACAAATGGAAACAATCTAAAAGACAGAAAATACATGAGGTCTACAAACTGAGTTGATAATGTCCATTTTTGGCTGTTGCATTAGTTTAGTATTTTTCCATATATATTATTTAAATTTAGACTATGTAACTATTCTTGTGGAGAGTGTGTCACTTGCTTGTGTCATGATATAATTACAATATATATATATATACAATAAATATAATTACTTGGCCTGGAACGTTCCACAGTATGCTTGTCTCCATGGAGATTGACAAGTTTAATACCATTTTGTGGTACATTCCAGGCAAAACAACATCTCCATGGAGAATAGGTGCTTTGGAGCTAATGCCTAAAAACCTACAGTGTCCCTTTAAAACTAATCATACACTGTTGAAACAGAGTATACAAAAAACACATTTAGGCAGGTTTTGCCATTAAGTTAATTACGAAACAGCTCTGCTTATACTTGTTGCGTATCACCTAATATGCTGCAACTTGACACAGATTTGCTTTACCACAATTACTTCTCACCCTCATACTGCAGTACACAAACAAAAGGTATGTAACATTGTGCATTGTCACCTTTCTCCTTGAGTTTCTTGAGGAGGTTTTCAGCAGTTTGGGCCAAGCGTCGAAAGCAGACCCTGCGTTTGAGTTGGGACCCAAGCAGGTTCAGAGCCTGGTACTCGGGAGGCTCCTGGAAGTCCTCACTGAACTCCTCCAGCCACAGGCGCACCACTGGAGACAGGCCACTAGAGAATAAACACAGGAAATTAATTATGAATATGGATGTTAATTGAAACTAATATTATCATAGTATTACACTAATTAAAAAACATTATATTGATCCACAAAAAATTGCCAATTATTACTCAAGAGTATTATTAATTGTGTTACTAACTTCCTTTTCTCGTTGTAAATGTTTTTGCTTGGCCTCAAATGTTGCACAGTATGGCATTAGCCTTATCTGTCTCCATGAAAACAAGCAAGTTTCAGGACAGATTTGTGTTTATGTTACATTATCGAATGTAATGTTCCACATTACTGTGGATCATTCCAGGCAAAGCAATAATGGACACATGCAGGTGTTGTAAGTCGTAAGTTGCATAATGTACCTTTAATTATTTAAAAAGTATTTCACATTTATAGATTTTTAAATGTTTTACTAGAGATAATCAGCTAATCTACAACATAAAGATTTGATAATGTAAGCACAAAATTACCATTAAAAGTGGGCTCAATGTTTGTGTATTTTGATGTACATATCAAACAAGCTGTATAATGTAGTAATGCACCAACTCTCAAGAAGTGGGTAACCTAAGAAAGTTCCAGTACCATAGTTACCCCGAGAATGTCAAATACAGTCTTATTTAATGTGTTATAGTTTGAATTACTCCATGTGTTATCTGTAATTGTTCCAGATTTTGCTGAAGTGGCTGCACTCACCTGCGAGTGCTAACAGCGTTATCAGAGTTGACCACGAAATCATGCCTGTGGAAAAGGAAAAACAAACACTTGTCATTTGTGAAGGTTACATTTGAAGCAAGCATAAATTTAAGCGGGAACACTTTGGTCCAAACTGAAACATGGTGAATGGGAAATCCTGTGAACGAGAACATGCAACATCCTGTGGAAAAATCCTGCCACACCACACAGTAAAGATCACGACTCGCGTGTCTGGAGTGTGGAGGAGTGGGGGAGGTGGAGGGACAAGAGGAAAAATTAGCATGGGATGCTTTTAACAGTTTGGGGAATTTGAAAGTATCTGTATAAAATGAATAGGACATGAATAGGAAATTTCTCCACTGTAAGATCAATAAAGTTCCATCTTGTCCAAGCTTTGAACATAACGACATAATATCAAAATGTTTCCTATTTACTTATATGAAGGCGGACTTGCAATTTTATTTTATTACTTAGTCGTATTTATTATTCCATGTCCTTCATTATTCTGCAACATTTTTTGTTCATATATACAGTATTAACAGTTGTTTAACTGACCATTTATGCAATCTAGCCAATGATACTGTTGAAGCATTATCCAGAAAGCAAATGTTCCCGTCTGATTCTGATAAGAATATCATTATGGCCAGTTCAAACAACTCGCTAATTTGCCATTAAAGTCAAGGGTATCACATTAAAACAATGCATTATATAAAATGTATACAATATTTAGAACATATATTGTCTGTCTTGATTATGTTTAGAGTTACATAAATGTTAAAAGGCCCTACAATAACTACGTACATATTAGGATACATAGAAATATTAATGCAGTAATAACACATATTTTCTTAGGATCAAATCACTATAATGGTAACAAAACACTGTATTCTAATCACCACAATAGAAAAACTGTTTTCTTTGCCTGGCTGTAAGTTAATCTCTAAAGCTTTTGTAGAAGACGTGTTGTCAATAGCAACAGAGATATGAGAAAACAATCATTAAAGCACTTTAATTTCAAACTCATATCATATCACTCACGCACACACATTTATAATTACTAAGGAAGCATCTTACAAACTTAATAATAATAATAATTATTATTATTATTTTCATTGTAGTCACGTTTAAGATATTTTGTGGCAGTGAAGTAGAGATGCTTGAGATGGGAGGAGGGCAGTTCTCAGAGGAGGTATAAAGGTTTGACCTGTTTGTTAATAGCGTGACGAGCGAATGATCGTCATAGAGTTATTCACCGCACCAGTGCTTTGGATGACGTGTAATGAAACCACAGGCTATTGTAAATAACAAAGGGATTACCGTGAATAAGCCTAGGTTATAAAGACACTCAGCCATAAAGGTAAATGGTGAAAAATGGGCTGTGTCAGTACAATACAAAAAAACAGCACTGTGTGCAATAACACTGAACAAATGCATCTTATAACATTAAGTGAAAAAACTGTATATCAAGGCACGTATGATTTTTTTATGATTATGAAATTTGATGAAAATTACAAATACTTAAGAGTCATAAACAAAAAAAATTTAAAACTGATAAAAGGTGTGGTTGCCATGGTGAGTCAGTGGGCAAGACACTTTAATAGGCACTTTTCATCTCAACTCATTGCAGCTTCTTGCAGCCTTTGATGTCTGTATTGTCTTTACAGATGTCTGTATTGTCTTTACAGATGTCTGTATTGTCTTTACAGATGTCTGTATTGTCTTTACAGATGTCTGTATTGTCTTAGTCTTAAACATGAATTATGACTGAGCTCCTGGTTGTTGAAGTTTGTTTTGTTCATTTGATGAATCTCTAATTAATTAAGATTAACTATAGTAATCTGAATCCAAAGACTGACTCTGGATGCAGAGGCCACAGTGCACAGAGCAGTTTTAACTTGGTGTGTAATCAGGCATGAGTGGCAATATCTATTAAAAACTAAACCAATAGATATACTGTTCTCAAAATGTTTACGTATAAATACCTGCTAATGCACTGAGTAAACCACAAACACAGGCCTGATGTGCCCACATGTCTTGTGTTGCCTGTGTCTCTCTCACCTCTGAAACAACAGCTCGATGAGGGCGGTCGAGGAAGTAAAGGCCCTGTAGGTGGACAGGAAGACCCGAGCAAAGTCTGGTTCTTGGTTTTCATGGTCCAAAAGATGAGAGACAAGGCGGTCCAGAGAGGCCGCTTTCAGCCTGCGCACCTTCACCGTGTGGTATTGGGAGAAAGTGAATACCGTGGGCAGATCCAGAGACTCGGGACTTGGAACAACAGGATCCCGACGAAGAGTGATCCCAAAAATTGCACCATTGTCCTCTTCCTCACCCCACTCCTGCACTGGGTCCTGCCAAAAAAGATGAAAAGTTACTCCAGTTAATAACAATGGATTTGTGAGTTTCAAAACCATTTTGAATACTTCTGGCTCTTCAAAATATATAATATTTCCTTTAAAATTGGCAGTTGCCACGGTGCTAATTGTTCATCGCTCTGAAACTGAAAGATAGGCCAATAGAAGATACTAAAAAATTTAATTCCATTTTTATTGTTGCAAATCTGTACAAATTAAAACTGTGTTTATATCCTTATTATTTTATAATTTAGCGTGATTTCATGCCTATATGCCATTCTTTTCTAGTATTTTCTGAAATAGCTGTAGGCCTAGTAAATTTGTAGATTACCTACGTCTAAGGTGAAGTCAGTGACAACAATAGAGTGTTCTAGTCTGGTTGGAGACTTTGTATAGATAAGTCATAACACATTAAGCTTCTTCATAATGGCTCATTTTAACACAATTGACGGGTGTTGGAGACCCAGCCCTGAACTCTGACACAGTTAAACAAGACACAGCTGGACAATGGTTGGCAGTATTAAGAGTATGGTCATACTAGTTTACACACTATTTCAATTCTAAAACTAAACAGTGACTGAACTAGGGCAAGACCTAGTGTACATTTTAACTAAACTGGGCTCAAATCAATGAAAATGCACTGTTAGGGTATGGATTGAGTGTATGCGTGGCACTCTTCAATATTTAAATACATTTACTACAAACAATGCATTAAATCTGTGTAGACATGCAATGCACCACCTAAATGAATTAGAAGTGTGTTTGCAACCACTCCTAACCAAACCACATTGGACAGCAGTGATACAAAGTGTCTTACCACAGGACAGTGACAGTATAAGGATCAACTATAACCACTACAAACCATGTAAATCATTGCCACCTTTCAAATAAAAAATATAAGAGGTTAATAATAACAATACAAACACAAAATCTAAAGACAATTTACATAACATTGTGCCAGCAGAGGGCCTAAATATTCACATCAAGAAAGAGGGATTAAAGACCAAGGCCTGCAGAAGATAAAAGTAGCCGAGTTGTTCAAAATGTAGGCCTACCTCATTTAGCCAAAGACAACACGCATAAAATGAAGAGTAACAGACAGAAAACTGTAGGCTGTAGGTTCACATTGTAAACATGCAAACACTCCACAAGTCTCATAGTGTCATCTTATTGTTTGACCCGAAGCAGCGTGTCCATACAGGCTTTATGTAACCACCACATTATTATTGTCTGTTTCACTCGTAACAATGGGCGCAAACACCACTGAAAACTCTACATATCACATGACAGAAACCAGTGCGCTAGACACAATACGGTGATAATAAATCATCAAATATCAAAGAACAATCCACTTTCAATGGATTTTCCCTGGTGAGCAAGAGGTAGTTTCACGTGCCATGTGAGAAGAGAACATTTTAAGTTAAGTTTCTTTAAAACCAACAGCCTTGAAATAAATAAACACGCTAATTTTCAGATCTGTTTACGTACCATTGTAAACTGCCATTTTTCCATAATATCTTGCTTTACTGAAGAAGTCATAAACTTTGTAAACAGCGACGGTTAGATATTAAGAACACATCTCCGAGGTGCGATCGTTTAAATAAATCAAACACGTATCCTTTCGCAAAAGAAGGCTAAAAACGTACAACTTGAATGGCGTTGGCGCAGGATGCGGGAGTCAGAGGATGCACGAGCACACTCACAGCTGAACACCTCGAAGAACCACGGATAGCCGGGGGCGGGGCTAAGGGGCAGGTGTGGGCGGGACTTGTGAAGGGCTGGCCAATAAGGTGCGTGGAAAATGTGGAACGAGAGACCCACAATAAACACCAGATAAGATTATGCAGTATTACATTCAGGCTGTCAGATTGTATGACTGTGTACTTATGAGATAATAAAGAAGAATTGTTAACAAGAAGTTGTTGTATTTTTATAATTAATTAAGGATTTCTATGGCTACAAGAGCACAAAGGAAAGTGTTTTGAAATTAGACCTATAATTTCTCAATTTTAAATATACTTTTTAGATAAGATTTCTCTTTTTAGCTCCTACCTAATGTAACAAAATAATACAAGAAAGCAGCTATTAAAAGACATGTGTTTCTGGTCTTGCTCTTGTTTGTACAAAATGTCTTCAAGTTGAATTGACAATATATCTGTCACAAGCATCAACTTGAGTGACTTTATTCATACAGTAATTATTATTATTACCTAGTAATGTGTTCTATGGTTGTAGTTAAATTTACACTGATGCCTATATACATTTGCTCATTTTTAAAGTAAAGGTATGGCTTTTTTATGCCTTTCTAATAACTATCAATTATCAGGAAATACTTGCTTGGGTGATCATACCTATGTCTCCTCCCTTCAGAATCAAACTTCCTTGATACAGATTTTGTGGTAGCACATATGAGCTGTAATTGCAGCCTGCATCAAAAGACTGAGGCCCTAATTTTTAGTGCTTTGGCCTTTCAAGAATCCAGACAGTGCAGTTTTCACTGTAGTCACCTGTCAGTAGTATCTTCCCATGATGTCAGGGGCGTGGAGGGAGCATACCACATCAGACTGGTCTATCAACCTTAAAATAGCAATGCCAACTTTGATTTTAGCAACCATGTTATATATAGAACATTTAAAGGCCAAAGGCAGTCCAACTAATTTCTAATGCTTTTAATTAACCAACATAGCATTTTTTTAACACATACTTCAACCTTGGACAACAATAATCTACCTCCAAACAGACAAACTTAATAACTAAAGACAAAACAGGGACTCGATCAGGGAGGTTAACCCTAACCCTAAGCTCATAAGTAGATGGATAAAAAAAAACAACAACTTTAAAACTGGCAAGTGTTGAAATGAAATAAAACAAAGACTACAGTACAGCAGCAGAGCAGTATGTCCTAACTGTGACGAGAACTGCATTGAAATGAATTGAACCACAACAGACAGCAGACCACCAGTGCTGAAAACCACTATTGTATTCATGACTTGAGGTTTTGCAAAGAATTCATATGTTGTTTCACTAATGAGTTTCTCCCCAAAGCAAAAATGTCCCTTCAATTAAGTATGCACAATGAATGGGAAATACAGTACCAGGAAGTCCATCCATTAGGTCCAATTTGACACATGAATGGGTGATGAGGGGGCAGCCATAAAGGAAACAAGCAAGAACAAAATGGTCATGGTTTCAAAAGATTTGAATAAAAATATAATTGTTCCTGGACTGTTTCCTGGTCAGTGAACTATGACTTAAGGCGGTAATAGAATAGAATTGTCTGAAGATAAACAATGACTTCATACTGAAACTCCAAGACACTAGTGATAAGGGAGATCATAATACAGTACCTCTGTAAGAATCTAAGAATCTCAAGGCAGTTTAACAGTTTAAGGTGCACTAAGTAATTTTTCAGCAGGAAAAGTGTAACTGTTTTTGCTTTGCCTGGAATGTCCCACTGCATAACATTACACTTCTAGCTTCTACCTCCTTCTATAATCTTCTGTCTATCACCATGGAACAAGCAGGTGATGCCATCAGATCACGTTACAGGGCAAGGCCGTGGAGTAGAAGATCAGATGATATGAAGAGATATGTTTTGTATCTACTTTTAAAACAAGTGATGGTTATGTGGTTAAGTAAAACTGGAAAAACCTAAAGGCATGTGTGAGAAATTCGTCAGGTGATCAGTGTCAGACTCTTCCTTGTCCTGTGCCACTGAGTGATCAGAAACTTTGAAAAATGCATTTGACTCATAATGTCATACAGAATTATTAAGATATAAATACAAATGTGTCAATATGTTGAGTTCTGTGGTATGAATCTGGTTAGACATTGTGGGTGTCCAATCTGGAAACTTCTTGGAACATTTATCACAACATTTCCATTTCCTGGTAACCAATGCAGTGACAAAACCAATGAGAAAAAGTTTCAGTTTTATCCATCATACCTCATACTGCTGGTCTATATCCAGAGACTGAAACCTCTGTAGCCAAACGCCGGGCTCGTTGTCTGTGTGGATATCCTCACTGAAGTTTCTTCGGAGCCAAAGTCGCTTTTTGACGAGGCTCACTTTACTGCGGAGGTTCCGGGACTGTCCCCCTACACCTCTGTCACGCTCCCAAACAGAGAGCAAGGTCCTCATGTCCCACTCACCTGCAGCTTCATCTGAGAGAAAGTATAGAGATAAATAACCCATTTGTACTAAAAAAAAACAACAACAAAAAAGCGAGAGAGATAGAATTTTAACAGTTTTCAAAATGTTATATGATAATGACATTGGCTTTGTAATTTGGGTCAGAACAAGAATATCATGTTCTAATGTTGCTGGATTAAGAGGGAAACAATCAGGATATTGTTGACCAATTCAATTAATCAGCACGTTGACGTAAATGACCTATATATTATGAATAATAAAAAGGAGGTAAAGCTTGGACAAGAGCTTTATATTCCGTGTCTGTTTCTAGAAATAGATATTAACTATGGGTTAGTAGACTTAGTTTACATTTTTAAGTTGCTGAATTAATAAATGTTATAAAACACATGGCCTCTCAAAATAGACAAATTATCCAACATAGATCACTTATAACAGGTACTACTTACTTCTAAAGTAGAATTACGTCCTGATGTTGGCTTATCATATGCTTGTAGTCTGTTCAGGTAGAAGGATCTACAGATAGTGAGCACACTGACAGACGGTATGCGGTTGGATTTGTTTCTGGCATTTATCAGTGTTTCTCGTGTTTGTGGGAGGAGGAGGATGTTGATCTGTGTCAGTGACTGTGTGCATGTGTGCACGCGCTTGTGTGCGTGTGTGTGCGTGTGTGTGTGTGTGTGCGTGTGTGTGCGTGTGTGTGCGTGTGTGTGTGTGTGTGTGTGTGTGTGCTCGCGCCTACTGGGCCTGCTCCTGGCCCTGAGGTGCTCTGATACGTGGTGGGTGCAGTTTTCTCATCAGGTGCACGATTAAGATGGCCAGTTCATACTGTAGTAAAAGAGTGACACGCTGTTGAATGTTGTGGGACACTGAGAGACAGACTCAACAAATTGGAGCACATAGGTCTTTATTTTTTTTTTTTTTTTGGCACAGAAACAGATTGTAATAACAATAGCTTCCACCATATTACCAAATACTGTTGAGGATTGCTCGTCACAATACGTGCAGCAGCTTAGCATTTTTCACGTCTACAGAAAGAACTGAAAAACTAGTGCGATTCGAGCATAGTTCCATGGGTTTGCGAGACTACCATTAAACATTTAACATATTTTTGTGGTGAGTATTTGTGACTGACAGGACAACTTACCTTTGTGATCACTAATTTTTACGATTGATTGCAGAAGTGAAAAATAAATATAAACTACGTGGTTTAACTGTTGCTTGTTACATCTGCCATAAAAAGACACCCGCATAATAGATAGATAAGATGAATAAAGAGGAAGGAATGCTTTTGAGTAGCAGGGCGTCACGTTTCGTCAAAACATATTGGACTGCATTTCCCATTATATACATTTGGGCTTCGTAGTCATGATGGCAGGCAAAAGAAAGCAACTGCAGCTGCCTTAATCACAAGATATATTGCTGCGTTAAAGATGTTATAAATGTCAGTTAGAAATACAGGCGGTCATTTAATCAATTAGTGAGCTAGCTTCAGGACTAGTTTGTGTAAAATCATATAGACAATAAGTTTATATAAACAGTGTATGAAATGGAGGATCTGAATGGAGCAGTGGAGTGAGGAACCGTTTTTGACCACGTGTGTTAATGAAGAAGCGACATCCTCAGTGGAATAATTGGACCATTATACATGTGTGGAGGGACATGTGTCTGTTCTCCAGATTTGGTTTTGATGTTCATCTGTGAGGTGAATTTCAGCACGCTGTTCTAATGTAGGGCTGTGTATCAGGGAGTTTACTTAAGGGGATATCTCTGACACATTTGATAAGAGTCATAAGACTGTATCACATATGCAGCTGTCTGAACAGTATACTTGTCTAAACAGAGCGTTTGTTTGACCAGCGCACTGTCCTGTCATAAATCCACTGTTGGGCAAGTTACTTTAAAACTGTAATGCGTTATTTATTACTTATTACTGTCATTTCAAAGTAATTCGTTACATTACAATATTACTGCATTTAAAATGTAAGGCATTACATTACTATTGCATTACTTTAAGTTACTCTCACCAAAATAACTGCGAAAAATCTGAACTTTTGAGCCGTATATGGACTGAACCAGGACTAAACAAGGTCTAAACCAGGACTAAACCAGAGCTGAACCAGGACTAAACCAGGACTATAACAGGACTAACCTCAGACTGATTCCAGGACTGAAGAGGAGGACTAAACCAGAACTGAACTAGGACTAAAACAGGACTCACTGTCAGGACGAGCTCGAAGGTGACCGCAGGAGAAAGGAGCGGCTCTGCTCCGCACCTCATGGAGGTAAGAGCGGCTGTCGCCCGATCGCTCTTTATGGACCCTGCTGCTCGGGCTCACGGTCCTGATTTCAGCAACTATTTGCGGGTACAAGACCCGGTGCAAAACTCTGTTACAGCGCGTAACTTCTACCTTCCTTCAACGTGTCCAGAAGTCCAACTTTTTGTGTGATGGTTTGCATCGTCCTCTGTCTTTTGGGTGTGAGCGCAGGAGACTTTGTCGGTGCAGAACGTTTCGTCGACGTTGTGGATTTTGTCGGAGAGAGTGTTTGGGTGTCTGTGATGTGTGGTTGTGTCGAGTTGGGCAGCTGTGGGGGTTGGGTTAGTGGGTGGGTGGAAATGTGGGATTGTTTTTAATCTGTGTAAAGCACTTTGTGTTACATTTTTGTATGAAAAGTGCTTTATAAATAAAGTTTGATTGATTGATTGATTGACATTACTGCGTTACAGCAAAAATCAACGCATTACTGTAATACATTACTTTTATAATACATTACTCCCAACACTGCATAAATCTACATTAAAGTAGAAAGTGCATTACACCTCTGTAGAGCTGTCATACTGTATGTCACTCATGGTTTCTAGATGCGTAATGATAATTACATAGATAATTAATGAAGGCTCACCTGTATAAATAAGGTTTAGAACTAGGACAAATCTGTGAAGAAACAAATAGCCCTGTGTATATGTTCATCCATTCAAAACTCCGCTCACCAGGAAGCGCAAATTTGCCTCTTGTTCTGATGGCTTTATCGGATTTACAAGATCAAATGATGTAGGCCTACACTGCTTTTAAAAATTTCATTATTTACACTTATTTACACTTAGTTTTATCATTATTGATTTTGAAGTGCCAGTTAGTAAGTATTTTTTAAATTAATGAGATTTGAGAAAAACAAACACATTCATAAATGTAATGGTCAACCAGCTAAATCATGTCACATACTGAGATAAGTCTCTGCTGAGCTCATTTTGCCATTAGGACTCTGCCTCACCTCTGAACAACAGAACTAAACCCTATGTAGTTTGCAACTCAGTGTGAAAACTCATTATTACCCACACTTAAGTCCATCACAGAAAAAGTAACTGATCCAATGCTAAATTGTTTCTTAGATGTTACACATAAAAATCATACAAGAAGCTGCCAGGAATATTTTCTGTAAGAATTAAATGTTGCCCAATTCGATATGCACATTTTTTTATTTGTTAATATGTATGAGAACACTGTTGGATGCAAAAGCACATTTATATGAGATTTAACATGTACATTAGGAATGTCACAGTTTAATTTTCACTTCTTCTTTTTCCAAGGCTTTTTCTTGAACTTTGAGTCAACAGTCATCTGAGACTGTCTTTTCAGAGCCTCTCGTGAGATGGTCCCTGCATCGTCCTCATCGCTCTCCCCTTCTGACACACAAACATTTAAGGAAAGTCATTGATACATAATAAACAATAATAATAAAATAATACAACTGTGCAAATGTGTGTGTGTGTGTATATCTCACCATCATCAAACAGCTCCTGTCTCTGGTCCTCAGGCAGCAGGACACGAGTGTTGAAGGTTGGCAACTTTCCCTCAATTTTGAGAAAAAACTGCTCAAGAAATACAGTTTTATACTTCAAATACTAATACATTTTTAGTTTCCACACATTTATACATTTATTGATAAGACACAGGAACTTGCTTCTATGTTTCTGCAAGTTACATAATGAAACTGATAAAAAGAGAATTATTCAACAATGTTTGATACGTCAGTAGAAATGAAATTGCATAAGTAATTTTAATGTTTGATTTGTCATTTAAGATGCCATCCAAAATTTGGAAAAGACTCAGGCCACAGAGCCAAACAGCAGCTGAGTTAGGGGATGGTGATATAAACAAAAAAATATATTGATATTTCATTAAAATATCCTGATAACGTTCATAATCTTTCAGCTGGAAAAGTGCTAAAACTTCGAAAATGTGCTTTGATGAGGAAACAACTTTATAACATAGAGTAGAAAATAGCATAATTGTTTCGTCTTTTAATTATATATACATATGTGTATGTATGTGTATATATATATATATATATATATATATATATATATATATATATATATATATATTTTTTTTTTACATTTATTATCAACTTTAAATTGATTGCATTTTTTTTTCTTTTGAGCATCGGATTAGTCAGTTGTTGCTTTAGCAACAGCGTTTCTATGTACTTGAATGAACACCAAACGAAAACAAGAAGATGGCACTAACAAAGATACTTGCGTCACGGACATTATAAAACTATTTCAATCATGCAAGTGACATCAAAAAGAATACAACCCGAAGTGCCAAACATTCCCCTTTAATAAGTGGAATATTAAAATGAGTCTCTGATTTGAATACTGAAATATGACTCATGACTGGTGTTGTAATTGTTACCTTTTCATCCTCTATCATCTTCATAATGGCAGAGAAGTCTTTCCCCTGGAGTTCACTGTAGAGGGACTGCAGTTTCAGTTCACACTTGCTCAACAGCTCCACCAGTCTTGAGTCTGTGGACACTATGGTGGAAGTGTCCTCAACCTGGAAGGAATAAAGCCACAAACAGAAAAATATACAATAAGCAAGTTGTCTTCTGTCAGTTTAGTAAAAATCATAGTAAATCTGGCAAAAAGGGTGGTGCCAGGAGTACATTTCTTGCTTCATTTTGTTGACAAGATTAAATACAAAAAAAGTACAGATGGATTTTTAGATATCATATTTAGTATTTGACTAAACTTGAGGTTACTGAAAATCTAGCAATTTAGATCTTAGAATTAGATATTAACAAATCCTTCCATACAATCCATCAAAATCAAAAGTACAAGATTGTTAAGTTTGGTGTATGTAGGTTTACCAGCGGGATGTGTTGCAGTTTGTCAGCGAGATGCTCCACTCCAGCCTGGACTGTGCCCAGAGTTTTTTCCAGGGAGCTCAGAGTCTCTTTGGCCTGGTCACACCTCCTCTGAGCGGCCTGCAGCTGCTGCTCACAGTCCTCCAGGATGTGTTGGTCCCTGTCCAATCAGAGAGAGAGAGGAGGCATGCACCAAATATAATGAGTTAATGTGGGACATCTGACAGAACTGAACAGTACATGATTATACAAGTTTGATACAGTAAGCTCATCATGTTAACAAATGTACTCTGCTTATATATTTTGAAATATATATTATGTATAACTGTGGCAAAAACATGACCAAACCAAAGACTAAATCAGGATTACACCATACTTTGGTCACATTCAATACATTTAGATTTTAGGTTATATTTAAAAGCAGCAAATGTTTCAAAGAAAGATCAATGTTTATGCTGTGTCATCTGATACAGACACAAATATAATTGATACGGTATAAATTTTTTGCTTGTGAAATAATGAAAAGATCTTAAATAAATGTGATCCACTTTAAAATGGGGACAGTGACAGGAGCAGTGATTACCTGGATATTTTAGCTTCTCCAGAATATTTCTTATCCTCAAATTGTTGATCCAGCTGGGCCTTCTGCTCCTTCAACTCCACCAAAGTGTTTTTATTTTCCTCTGTCAGTTTCTCCAGATGCTCATGGATCCCTTTCTGTGTGACAAAGCGCTCTGCCACCTCCTGGAGGAACAAGGAATTGCATTTTCAACATGACAAGCATGATAAAAAGATTATGATTAAATTTAATTATTTCTCTTTTCAAATGACCAATAATGTAAAATAAACACTTGCAATTTTGAGATTGGTTTAAATAAAATTAAATGTCATCTTGCGGCACGGTGGCTGAGTGGCTAGCACTCATGCCTCACAGCAAGAAGGTTCTGGGTTCGATCCCCAGGTCGCCCAGGGCCTTTCTGTGTGGAGTTTGCATGTTTCTCCCTGTGTCTGGATGGGTTTCCTCCGGGTGCTCCGGTTTCCCCCATCAACCCAAAACATGCTACAGGTCTCCAGAACAGTTGATAGTCAAAGGTCAGTTAAATACAATCAATCAATGAACCTGTCCAGGGACAACAGGTGGAAATTAGCACTGATGCTACAACCTGATGTACAATGCATCTCTCCTGTCACGGTTAATGTGAAAATTGTGCGCTGTCCCTGTCTTAAATAAAAATAAATAAATCTTGATTACTAATTACTTAATTTACATGGTTATACATTGGATTCAGTTGGCCTGTTCATGGCTTTCAGCTTCCTGTTATATATGACAGTTGAGGAATTTTCACCAAAATATTCAAAATATTTTTCTATTTATGTATTTATTTATTTGTCTCAAACATTAAGAACAAAAACAACAAAGTAATTTCTCATTCCACAAGTCACAATATATTTGAGAAGGTGTAGAATAAAGCCAAGGCTTCTTCTGGTTCCACTCCAAATAGGCCTTGGCTTATAATATTTACTTTTATATTGTAAATTACTATGGCAACAGTCCTATTTTCTTATCATTCTGAAATCTATAGATTATAAACTAAAACATCACTGAGCAGTTATAGGTTGTCAGCAGATCTAATAGGTTTCAGACGACAACACCATTCTATAGACAAATAAAAATGAATACAGATGAGGGACTGCTAAAATTAATATTGTTAAAATGTAGATAATGTTCAAGAATCCAGTTAGTAATAGAAATTACCAGGTTCAACATTTGTGAATTTACCTTTTGGATATTTCAACTGAAAGAACAATGTCATTAATAGGGAAGGCTGGCTGCTGCTGCCCTCCATCTGCGAGTGTGACATGATTTCATTGAAGAGCCTGAAAAACTCCAGTACCTGTATGTCAGTGACACCTGTAGCCTCCTTGATTTGTCGAAACACGTCCTCAAAAGTGGACATGGCTTTGTCCTCGTCTCCAGTTGTCCTAGTGGTGCTGCGCTGGGCCTCACTGCTCTGGTCATCTGACTGCAGGACTGTCCTCTGTGTCTGTGCGGGACCCACGTTACAAACATTATTAAAGCAGTAAAAACAAGGGAGTAATTTTTGTTTACATCCAAATAGTTATGCTATAGAGTCTGGGGCCTTTCTGGAAACGGGTGTCAATGTATTAAATAAGATAGCCCTGCCCCATGTTGTTGAAAAGATACTTTATTAGCAATATCCAAACATATACCAAGACATAATGTGGAAAGAAGAAATAAAAATAGAGTTTACATTACCCTTCTCTCAACTTTCTCTGTCTGTATTTTGTGCTCTTCCACCTTGGCCTTATAGCGCTCCCTCTCCTTACGATCTTTGTAGAGCAGTTCCTCTCTTTGTTGTAGTTCAGCCTGGACAGAATAAGGAAAATATGATAAGAGTAAAACAGACATACATATACAATAAATTATTAAAGTATATTTCTAGAGAGTGTTACCTTGGATGCCTCTGCAGAGAGCTGGGCGTCATGGTTCATGGCCTGCAGGTTTTGAAGCTCCTCTTTATGATTCAGGATTTCTACCTCTAGACTGTCCAACTGACTCGAAAAATTCAGGCTCTCATCCTATAATACAAAAACATGTACAGTAAAGACAATGGCTGGTTAAGCATAAGGTGCACTTTAGTGACCCTCTTGGTGGAGAGAAAAATGGTCTTCTGTCCCACAAAACCTGGAGCAAAGACACTCCTCTAATCTACTAGGTTTTAAAACTTCAAAAAATACTGAATAATAGTAAAATGTATCAATGATCAAAGGAAATAGCAATAAATGTTAAGTCTATTTAATTTTCTTTGTAGCTTTGAATTCAATGTTCCAAATAGTTTTCCAGCTCTCTTCAAAGCAGTAAAGGTGATCCACTTAATATATGGATAAGTCTGTAACAGCTGGTTGTACCTGTAGATGGCTTTTGAGTGTCAGATAGTTCCTTGTGATATTTTCAGCCTCTTTACATTTCAATTGAGTCTTCTCCAAGTTATTCTCCAATGATCGCAATTTCTGAATACAGATGTAACGTAAAGATAAATGATCAAGTAGATAAAATAAGATATCTTTTGTAAACCACATGCTAGCTCAATCACCATCGCATCTTCCTCTCTTTTCTGAGCACGTGGATCTGTAGTTTTAGAGGCACCGCTCCCTAGAGGTTTCAGTCTGTCATATTCTAACTTCAGCTCATTGGCGCGCTGCTGCAGAGTCTGTGTGATGTGCTTTTGGGCATTCAGACGCTTCTTTTTCGATTGGAGCTTTCTATCCAGAGTAGCCAGTGCTGTCTGCAAATTATATATTAAAAATGTAACCAGGATTAAGTGGAATGCTTTAAGTGAAAAAATGACATTTACCTTTCCTGACATGTTACGGAAGGCATCTTTGTCAGAGATTTTATCCACATTATGAAAAGCCACTTTAACAACGTGTTTATCCCCCTACAAATACAAAACACATTCACTTATTAGTTAGACCAACATTGTAGACCCTTTCAAAGTTTGTTTACATTATAAATTCCATAATGGAAAACAAATTGAAGTATAACAATCTAATGCCTCACATAGGCTCTACACATAAATGTAGGGCCTATGACCTTAAAGACATTTTCTTTAAGCCTGGTTTAAAGACACTGTTTTTAAGCCTGGCTTAAAGACATTGTAATTTACATGATTTGTTTATGTGATTATGATCGAAACAGTGTGGGCAAATACTTACAGAAATGCTGCTGACCCCACAATATATATATTACATACTTACCACAAATTATACTTTTTGTGAAATCATTAGAAATAGAAACGCAAACTAACTGGTAATTCTACACTGGAAAAGTTAAAATTCAAACATTTTGAATTTCCACCTTTCTATTTAATTATTTTAAAAAGTTGAAAATAACTGCATACTTCATTTTTACAAATTTTTTATCCTTCAGATGACATAATATTTTAAAGGGTCACCTCGCTGGCTGCTGCGAGTTTCTTGTAGAGCCTGGTGTTCTCCTCTCTCAGCTGCTGCACCATCTCTCTGTTCTTTCTGATGGTGGCCTGGGAGGTTTCATAAAACGCAGTTCTGTCGCCCTCTGGTGGACACATGCATCACTTACACATGTATCATATTGCGAGAGAAACCGGACATTTTCCAGGATTTTTATTAGTACTACATTTATATAAAACATTATCACACTCATCAAAGGACTAAACGTGAAGCTAAAATAATTTAATAGTATTGTTACCCATAGATGTGTTTTCGTCATTTTAGCGCATAGTGAGCAAGCAGGTTGTCTTTTAATGAGAAAAAAACTTACCTAAAAGTTGAATTCTCCGCTGTAACTCGGTTATTTGGTCACTCAGTGGAGGTTTGTGGGTCTCTGCGCTGAAGGGCATGTTGGTGTTTTAGTAGAAGTAGTAGAAGAGAGAAAAGTAAAACCATCCGCTTTTTGACTCCGACTCAATGAAATCAGCTCAAACTGTTGCTAAGCAACGAGTCACAAACCACAGAGAAGTCTGAGCGCCCCCGTGTGCCCACAGAGCACTAAATAACACACTTCATCTCAACATCCATGACAATTTTATTAATTCCCAGAAAAATATTAAAATCCACTGTACAAAACAAACTTGCTTTCATTTTAATTAGTACAAAAAATATATAATACTGTTAGCTTTATTAAGGCACTTTCTGCCATTTGAAATCTCATAAGGCCATATTATCACACATTATTTTGAGTTAGTTATCTAAATGGTAACAGTTCAACTTTGGTAAGTGGCCAAGACAGTGCAAAAGGCTTTTAGAACTGACATTGCGTTATTCCTCAAGTGGCTATTTGCCGCATACTTCAAAACATAATCAGACTGCATGGCAGTATGAACAAATAATAATAATCATGTAAACATAACAGAATAAAACAAAGATAAACACTATATTACATCATGCAGTGGTTACTTTACAGCCTATAATTCCTTCAGCAGCAGACCTGCACTTCAAATACTTCCCTGAACAAGATGGCACTTGGACACCTTTTGTTACTGCTCTATTTGAAAACATTGATATAAACTCTCTCACACACTGGTCTGAGTTAGTCAACTTGTTTGGGCTGTTCATTGGTTTTCTTCAGGAGCTCCAGGAGGCCCTGGGACATGAAATACGGTCGCTCTGCTGACCCATCATTACGTTCAAGGTCTTCCACTGTAGCACACACAGAAGCAGAGAGGTTAAACTATGCATTTTGATATTATGGATATTAACCCTAACATTATCCATAGTTGTATATATCTATGTGATGTTAACTTACCTGCTCAAGGCCAGAAATACCTCAGTTAACATTTACACTTTGTTTCAAATACAATCACTTTTAATAAAGATATACATTGTCCAGTAAATATGGAATGTAAAGTTGGAAAATCATTGTACACATTTCATAGGATGGCAAACAAGAATTACAAAAGCAATAAAAGACAAAATGTTAGTAGCAAGCATTCAAAGGCTGAGTCAACATCATGCAGCACTTAGACAGTATAAAGAAAGAGAGATAGAGAGAGAAAGGAGAAGAGAGGGAGGAGAGACAGAGCAAGGCAGGCAGAGGTCAGTAAACATGTGGGTATCTCATGGCTGCATAATGCATCAATTTGGCTTTTAAAAATTCAGTTACAATTCATATTCATTGATATTAAGAAAACACTGCAATATTGTTACAAGCCCACATCCTTGAGTATGTGACAAAATACATGTGTTTAAAAAGTCCAGGTCATTTTGATATTTTGACCTTCATTTACACTTGTTAATCTGCTGTTGTTGTTAGTTTTTTTTTAAAACAAGTTTTGACAAGTGCAATGACAACTAATTTGATTTAAATAAATAAACCATACAAGGTCATTTATTTATTTCTAATTACAATACTTTACATAATCATGGCATATTGCCAATGTTCTCATATTATGCAGCCCTAATTTGTATCAGCAAAGAGAGGTCACAAAAGTTAGTTTTACAATCACAGCACTCTTACACCATTCTGAGAGGCAAGAAGGTAGAAATACAATACTTGGGACCCCATTATTGATTGATTCTGACAAGACTGAAGCCAAAAATTACATAGACTACATAATCTACAGAAGTCTCAAGTGAAAAAGCAAGTCCAGTTTATCAAATATGTCTGTTACATTTTGGCGTCAGCTGGTATTATTGTAAACAGTGAAATAGAGATTCACCATTAGGACGTATTGATTGACTGTAAACATTGTAGTCCTGAATTGCATTAGTTAAGACAACAGAATTTGACATCAGGCACAGGTTCAAGCACTCACAATTTTTTTACAGATCTTCACAATATAAAAACTGACATTGACCAACCTTGACCCACAAAAGCAATTTTCAAGCTACAGAGATGCACTGGGCTTTAATAAAACCTGCTTCACTCATCACGGTTCATCCACTTCTTCAGCTGGGACAGTACAACACTCACGAAGCAAAAAGGCATTCTGAATTTTAAACTTATTTGCCGTACATTGAACAGGTCCATACCACAAAAGGTTTTAATTAAATTTTTGTGTGTTTCCAATCTATTCTTGTGGGGAAGTGGCAGTTGCATCAATTTCTTGCTTGGTATCTTCATCTTTCTTGTCCTTTACCTCCTCTGTATTAACCTCCTCTTTTGGGGCAGGGGCTTCCTCAGTCTTTTCCTCAATTTTAGCCTCTTGTTTGTCCTCCGGTTCCTTAGTATCTGGCTTTTGTTCGATCTCATTGGTTTGAATATCATTTTGCACCACCTTGCTCTCCTCATCTGTATTTTCAGCATTGGCATGTAGGGGTTGCTCTTCCTCATTCTCCTGTTTGAGCACTGTTTGTTGTTGAAGCTGGATCTCTCCGTCTTGTTGCTGCTGTAGAGGGGTTTCTTCTTCGCATTTGACCTCCTCCAGATTTTTGGCAGTTTCTAGCTGCTCAATGCCATCATGCTCCTCCTCCGCCCTTATAGTTTTGGACAAAATCTCATGTAACTCTACCGACATGAAGTAGGGCCTGTCTGAGGAGCCGTCATTTCTTTCTAAATCTTCGCCTTTTCAGTGTTAAGTGCACATATGTGGTGTGATAGAGTGGGTTAATGGGAAAAAGATGAAATAAAAGCAAGAAACAATAGTAAAAGTGTGAAAATTAATGTGACAAAATTAGTGGGAGAGAGAAATGAGAAGAAGAGTTAGAAAAGGTATCATTACAAAGAAATCAGCAGCAGTTTTAAAGAAAATAAATTGTTTGTGCCACATAAGTACTTACAGAAACAGAGGAAGAGCGTGTCCACACACATGGCGTACACACTGAAGAATCCATGGGCAATGAGGTAGGACCCCACAACAACCGTCTGAAAACATACATACACAGTAAGTTATTCAAGAAATGAAAATAAAATTACAACATGAAAACAATAATGACATATACAATACACAGTGAAAATTGACCACTCCTTTAAAGAAATCATAAATAATTGCTACAAGGAGCAGAATTTTTTGGCCAATGTCAAATTCCTAACATAGATATTAAGAGTACATTGAGGAATGTTCAATAGATCCTCTGTGTTCAGTTTAGTGTTATCTCACCAGTATTGGCACCCAGTAGTAGTTGAGAGATGGAGCAGCGTCTTCAACTGCTTTAATTCTCCCCGAAAAGAAGAAGAAAGAGAAGATTCCTGCATAAAATTAAAACATGTATTACTGTTTTCTATGTTATTTTTTTGTAAAGCTTAAGAAAAAATATGATGAAGTTTTAAACGCACCAACAATACCAACAATAAGAAGCTTTCCAAGAAATAGCAGAAAATCAGTGACTTTGTCCAAAACAGCCACTCTGTAAAACAAAACTAGAACATAAGCTGAAGTTATGTAAAAACAAAAAACAATATTTTTTTTAAATAAATGTTTCAGACCTGACAATGTTTCTCATGAGGAGGAAGAATGCGTCTTTAGCAGAAGTACAAAAGCTTTTCCCATAAATGGCAATCTGTTGGAAAAATTCACCACTTACACAACATACACAGAAATGTCCAGTGTGAGAATGGGGTCAGGGAACTAACCATGATGTAAGCGTTCCTGTTTAAGAACTTGATGCATTTCTCGAGACACCAGAAGCAACACTTCATACAGCTCAGCATAAATTTGGTACACTTGTTTTGAGCCCCTGTAAATTAAGAAAACACTTCATAATAACTTCATAAATGTAACACTATAATTTGGATTTCTTGTTAAATGTTTTTACCTTTCAGTTTGTGATCCAGATACTCCAGAATGACCCTGATGACCTGGACTATAGACAATATGAGAGAGCCAAAAGCCAGGGAGCCTGTGTGGTATCTGAACAGAAGGAGAAAGGCTGTGAGTAAGAATTAAAAATAATAATTGCAATACATGTATTCAATACAATTTTTTTAACATTTTGGGATGTGTGGCTGGGTACCTTAGCGCTCGTCCCAGTGAGGAGAAAATGGGGTATGCAGGGATGTCCTCCGGCTTCTTAAAAGCCCAGTAATACGAGGCAAAAGCCCCCGACAGAGTGACCTGTCCCAGGGCAGTCACAAAATTGGCACACCAGAAGAAGAGGAAAACATTGTAGAACTGGAATAGGATGAGATATTTGTGATACAGGGTCTCTCCGCCATAAAATGCAAACAGGCACTCAGCATCCGGACACTGTTGTGAGATGTTGGAAGTGTTGAAAGTCTGAAGAGAAAATTAAAATATGACTTAATAACACAGTAGCTGAGTATTCATTGATGTTGTGTTTTATAGTAATGTTACCTTGGGGTCACAAGTTTCTCGTGCATATTCACAGTCAGAGTTATTGAATACTTTGTACACTTGCTCATTAGAGGTTGACAAGAATCTGATTACGTGGGTTAAAGAAACTGTCTGTAGTGTCATGACTAATAAAAAATGTAAATAATGAAGATTAGATAGATAGTACTTGCCACTATTGGGAAAATTATTTCTAAACTAAACTAACTAAAGTATCAAGAATTTTAGAAGTGCAAATCATTTACTGAAGGATACACAGCAGTAATGGCCCAGTAAGCGATTACCACAACCAAAAGGGCAAAGGTGAGCAGTGGGTAGAACAGAGCGGACATGACATGGCCTACGGCTCTGAAAAACAAAAACAAAATTACATAGAAAGGTAATATAGAAAATGATAGCATTGTAGAGTAAGTATGCAATTACAAAGCAACACTGACCTGCTGGCTTCTTTGATGAGGGCAATTGCAATAAGCAGTCTTTTTCTCAAGAATATGAGCAGCAAAATGATGATGAATTCAACAATACACAGGATTATCACTATAATAGAGTAGGTATTGTGAATTATTAATCATAAATAAACAAATAGTATGTATCTTACATATAGTAAGAAAGTATCATGGTTAAATCCACTTACAGAAAGCTAACCACGTTTGCCTGATTTGTAGATAAACAGAGAAGTCAGTTTGCAGGCCCAGATCTCGAATAGTGACATCTGCTCCTGGCTCACCCTTCAGGCTGGCATACTCCATGTAGCAGTGGAAAATCCCTAGAAAAAACACATTACTCAAAATTAACAACCAACTTAAACATGTTTAACTGGCAAAAAATGAGTTCAGCCCTTACCATAACCAATGACGAGAATGACCAAGATAATCATCACCCACACCATAATTCCAGCCAAGAATCGCAGCAGCACAATAAAGATTAAACTGACGACCATAGCGATCACCAGTCCACTGTGAAGGGGATGGAACATTAATGTTAGTTGTTGTAATCAGACCCCCTTTATATGTCACAGACCCTGTACTGCAAATATGAAAAAACTGTGCTTAGTTTTGGATGGATGGATGGATGAGGGCAACAGACTGTTTCCATATTGATACTGTATCCATATATAATATACCTGTAGTATACAGGTACAGGTGTTGTACCAACACAACAGGATGTGGTAGAGTGAGTGGTACATGACTAGACTTACAGCAGTATCCAGTGCCATGATTGTGTGTAGTCTTCAAAGATCCTCATTGCTACTTGACGAGCTTCAACACCCACATTTGACTTCCTGTATGAAAACAAAACAAAACACCAACAAGTTTGTTTAGCTGTAATTCTAAATTAGAGACATCTGCCATTCCTGCAGGGCAGCTTGGTATAGCATATGGTGTCTTAAGTACCATCTAACTAAAACACAACCAAGACTAAACCATAATCACCTTAACTAACCTAGAAATAATAATAACCAGGCTAATTGCAGGACTATGTAGGCAAAATCAGCACAAAATACCTCCCAAGCAACAATGACAGCAGCCTTATGATGCCACAGTTGATGGCATAAAAATAGAGCAATGCACAGGGAACATTAAATGAAGCATAACATGATACACCACAAATCTGACCAGTGTCCAAACATTTCACCTCTTTACTGTGAGTGTAATGTTTAAACTGTATAAATTAATTTGGAATTTAAAAAATGCATGAACAGAGCCTCACTTTGATGCCTCCAGCACTTCAGTGGCATTTATGCTTTTTCCGTCTCCTGTGTCAAAACTGGTCTCATTGCCCACGACCACGACCCCACCTTTCATTGTTCCCAAAGCAGGAAGGCACCTCCGTGTGACTACAGAAAGAAAACATTAACATTACAATTATAAAACTGAAAAATTACTTAATAAACTACTATAACTGACTTACATGGTTTACTTGGCATCAGCATGGCAGGACATAAATTATCCCTCAGGATCTCAGGAGAACTCTAAAGAATTACATTAGGTTTCCAGTTACTTGTGTAATTGTTCAAATCAAAGGAGATTTAGTTTTAATATTTACCTTACTGAAATCCACTCCTTCCTTACAGAACTGTTTGTAGTATTCATGCTCGCCCATCATTTTAGCTTTTATCAGTGTTAAATGTTTATCAGGACATTTCTCCACACACAGCTGAACCACAGAAAACAGAAATAAATTAAAATTGGTTCAAAACAAAATGTACCAAAAATATTTCTCTGCTGACCTGTGTGGTGGGGCACTGAAACTCCAGCAGAACCAAGGGGCTGGCACATTTTAGGATGTTAAAATAGAACAAAAATGGCTTCTTCCTGTAAAAAATAAAATTGATATCAAATTAAATCTTCATTCAGGGATATTTGATGAGATTATATTGTTTTCCAGGGTGTTCAGCATGCACTGAAGCATTATGGGTGTGTCTGACTCACTCAAGGGGCGTCCCGGCCTGTCCACAGAACTGCCCTCTGCTGTCAGTGGGGTAGATGACCTTCCTGGGATCACCTTGGGACCATGCTGTAGAGAAAAACCAAATGAGTATTTTGTGACTTAACAAAAGTAAATAATATTAATTTGTTTGCAAAGATCTATAGCTAATTGTATAACTCTGTCAAAAAACATTCAAACTTAAATAGAGCTTTAAATTCAGCACCACACTTGCAAGGTTTTTTCCTTGTTTTAATCTTGTGCTCTTTATTAGTTTAGTTTTAATTTCAAATCAGTTTTTTTTAATTAAAATAATGTTTCCATTTAATGGATATAATATTGTGCAACTCCAAAACTCTTACCCAGAATACCCACAGCAAAATAGCCAAACAAAGCGAGGATGAAGAGGATGCAGCAGAGGATGTCAGTGCAGCCCCTGAAGAAGAGGATGAGAGAGTTAAAGCACTGTTTGTGAGAACTACAGAAAGGATAATGATCTGGTCATCTCACCTGTTTTGGATGGGTCCTTTGAAACTTGGATCAAACTTCCTGGACTCTCCTGGAGCACAGAAAAAAAAAGGTAATTTATATATCTGCCAAAAATAAATTATTTAATTTCTGCTATTCACAACACAGTTAAAACTCATATCAATCATCAAAATTACAAGAAAACTAGAAGGACCCAAAATATACATAAAATGATTTCCTTTTTCTCTTAGTGCATTCCCCAGCCTAAACATAGGTGTGAAGCTGTCAATTTAACAGGACTGATTGCCTCAAAGGGACATCTCCATAAAAACCAACAGTGCAGTCCACCCAATTGTCTTTGGAATGTCCACATGTAGTACATAGTAAAACCTTTGTTCATATCATGTTGTTGACAGAGATGTAATTTACAACAACCTGGAACACTTAAACTAGAAAATGTCTCTTTATTGTTACTATAAACCATAAGGACCAATGTTTCAGATGCTCTCTGTGTGAACATCTGTTGAGATTTCACTTCTTGTTTCCAACAGTGTGTGTTTGTGCAACTGTTTCTTTCTAATGGTTTTCTCAGCAATTTGGTAGAGTACATTTCAAGTTACTGCCTTTCATTGAAAAATGTGTTGAGCTGAATCCTATCATTTCTAACACATGTGAAGTCCTTTGGGCCGCTGCTGTTGTTGTAAATGTGCTCTTTCATTTGAAAAAAAATGTGTTCAGTTTAATAAATGCAAAAACACATGTAAATGCAACAAACACATTTTAAATGTATATCTTTTTGGTGAAGTTTGGTGAGGGTTATTTTTGCATAATGATTACATTGAACTGAGCTGAAATCAAAACGTTACTTTCAGCTGACGATGAAGCTCTTTAAGTAAAGTTAGTTATTTTTTGTGTTTTGATGGAGACAGTTAACTTACAACTTTTACTTTTGCATTCTACTATATTACCAGATTTATTAGATTATAAATCTGCACTGGTACAGAGTACATAGACCGAGACAAAGGGTTTTTTCAGCCTTATGTCATGCCAAGCAGCAACCCACAAAATGTCTCCGTACAGACGGCAGGCGTCATGGAAACCCCTCAGACACAGCAGAGACAAAACCTCGCCCATTTTTCTCTTAACTGTCATTGCAACTCCAACAATTACCATGATTTAAACAATGATGGCAAATAAACAATACTAACAACACATCCTAACAACATGTAATTGAGCACAATTTATTTTCATTTTATGTGCTCACTATGTACTACTGTGTCTACTACAATTACTAAATATTCCAGTTAAAGGCTATTTTCTGGCTCAGTGAATATGTTGATGATCTCAGTGATTTTATTTTTAGCCATAAACAATTAAGCTGAATTCACATATTTACTGTATTTCTTAAGATTATTGTGAGTAATTTTGGCCTATATAATGTCTGTCATGACAGGAAGCAACTCGTCAGAGATGAGTTGTTTGTTTTGCTAAGACATCCTTTTGCAAGATAGTGACATCCTTTGTCTGACTGTACAAGCTCCGATAAACACAAATGAATACAAATACGGTAAGTACGTATCTTCTATTTTTTGTACCTGCCGTGTTGACATTTAGTTATAATACATTTATGCACACAGTGGTTCTACTACGTTTCTAAACAAAAAACACCAGTACTACTCATTGTAAATCATATAAGTCATATTGAACCTTAATATTTTGTCATTTCTTACCTTTTTTATAATTTGTCATGTTGTTTCAGTAAGCTCTCTGCCCTCTGCTGTGTATTTACATTTCCTTCCTGTAATATTGCTCTTAATCTCACTTCCTTCTTAGAGAAATGTACTATTCTGCGTCTCTCTGGTCCCTCTTGTGGTCGTTGGCGTCGGGGGAACGGGCACAACAAGTGCACTAACTGACAGGGGACTGGTAAAACGAGACTTCTGGTGCCTCTCGCTTTGCTGCTTAAACAAAGCCCAGAAATTGACAATTTAAATGACATAAATAAAAAAAAAAAAAAAAAAATCAACACTTTATTCTTTATTTAATTGTAATAATTCTCAACATTCTCAAAATTGATAAAAAAAAATATATATATATATATATATATATATATATATATATATATATATCCCACAGTGGCAATGCACAACATTATTTTGGTTTAATTTTCATTAATGTAAATTGTGCCAATAAAAAATAACTAAATAAATATAAAACAATCAGTTATACCTGAATGTAGGACTGGCAAAAAAAAAAAAAGAATGATCTACATTTTTTATTTTATTAAATTAAAAAGCGAATCAGTATAAGCATGTCAATATGATATAGTCATACTGATTTACTATTAATTATTATCATATATCAATATAACTTTCAATCTTCTTTAGGAACATAAACAACACCATTCTGCTCCAAACCACCTGACAGAGGACTGGCTCTGGAACTCAGTTAAAAAGACCCAAGCTGATCACTGACTATTTGACATGATTGGAAATTGATGTGATTAAAATTGTATTACTTTCAAAGCCCCACCTGTAATAGGATCATAATAAGTGTCACCAGTAATTATGAAATATTTAGTACCTTTGCCTATTCTATCACCAAAACAATGACGCTCTGCTTCTGCTCACTTGACCACGCGGAGTTGAATGTCTCTAATTGCTGTGAAGTCATTATCTTGATCTCAGCATATTTGACACAGGAGGCGGTGTTCAGCATGGAGTGGATCAAGGACAATACGGAACGCAACAATGTCTTGTAATTTGGGTGGAACACGCCCAATGCCTGATCTGCCCACTTCTAGCATGTGATAAGACTGCAGTACTCCATATCAAGAAATACAATTCCAACTATTGACAACAAGACAATGTGGAAATCAAAACCATAAAATACTGCTAAAAAGTCACTGTTGTGTTATAATTGTCTTTTATGTACTAGAAAAAGCATATATCTAATACAAAATATACTCTCTATATAAATATAAGTAACTCTTTAATCTAAATTTGAAAGACGTAAAAATTCACGTTCTATTTTTAGGCACACTGTAACTGTAAATACAAAAAAGCTTTCTTCAATTCAAGATTATGCAAGGGTCTATTGAGAAAGGTACACCTACAGCAGGAAAATTCATATGCTGGTATTTGACCTGGTTTATGGTGAACTTTGTCCTACACAACATGTATATTTTTATAACTTTATGGATGCAGGTTAATTATATTAGATCTTGAGGTGGTAACAGCTACTCTATTCTATTCAGTTGGCTAGAAAGCTATAGGAAATGGTGAAAAAGATGCTGAGAGAATATTCCACTTGTTTAGATTTAATTAACAAAAAGCATCAATTTTCAATCATGTAGGCCTTTGTCTGAGCATCAGTAAATCTAAAGCATCTTATTAAACCAGTCAGTCAGCTGTCTCTTTGGCCGTTTTGTACCATATAACAATGTGCAATTGTGTTCAAAAAGCCTTACAGCTAATTCGCTCGCCACCAGCTGCTAAACAGCCATGTATGTTTACACAATTAGTCAAGCTGATAAAGTTAGAAGATAATTACTGCTGGTTGTACACAAGACGTGACCAGTTTGTCAAACAAGAATGTGAATTGCATTTAATATTTCTCATTTGTCAAAGCATGAGATCATTAGGAATGCAGCTAACCTTGTAGAACCTAATGTGCATGTCTGGTTTTTCAAGTTCAAAGGAGTTATGTTAATGAGTGTGGACATAACAGTAAGACATAGGGAGAGAGTTTACCGCGGTGACCTGACAAGAAAAAAGCTAACCAAATACCTGACAGTTATAAAATGTTAAGTAATGGCCAGAGTTTGATATTTGTAATTTAAAATAATAAAACTATATAAGACTAATCAATAATGTTTCATTGTTGTTGTTGTTGTTTCCTAATATATAACAAATATATG